TTTTTTTTTTTTTTTTTTTTTTTTAAGTTCCCTTTAAGACTTTTCAAAATTGAATTTGAGGGTGCGGAGGAGGCTGGTGGACGGCCGTGCCTGCTTGGCCATCTTTCTGTGCCTGTCTACAAAAAAAAGCTCCACATCCATGGGCATAGTGGTACAGGCAGACACTGACAAGAGACACACCGTTTGAAGATAGGGGCCCAGGAATCCCCCTGATGAGAAGCAAATCTTGAGGTCATGTGGGGAAGAATCAAGGTGATTTAGTAAGTTTTAAAATGCAGCAATGGGGAGAGGAGGGTGAAAAAAAGTATGAAGAAGTGTTACATACATGTATCAACCGCCTGCAATGAAAGTAATCATTATGTACTGCAAACATGTACTCAGAAAACTAAAAATTTAAAGAGACAAGGAAAAAAGTCCACAGCAACGGAACAGTTTTGCCTCTTGACTGCAGTGCCGTTGCGTGAATCTGCCTACAATGAAACTGCACGTAGCTACCCATGCTTACGCTCACACACGTGTACAAAATGAGTGTGTGGGAAACTGAGGTCTGAAGAGTAGTCTGTGGGTTGTACCCATGTAAATTTCCTAGCGTTGCTATTACACTATGGCTATGTAAGGTCTTAGTTACCATTGAGGGAACCCATACATAGGCCTGCCTATTTTTTTGAAACTTTCTGCTATCAATGATTTTAAAATGTCAAAAAGAAACAAACATCGAATGCACCAGAAATGGATTGGGCTCCATCTCCCCAAGGTCTTGGGGTATCAGGGCTGATGCTCTCCCACAGGGAATCATGAGGAGCCTGTTAGTAACAGTGAGATCACCGTCACTGTCAAGGCTCCAACTTACGGACACTTACAATGACAAGGCACTCAGGCTTCCAGTTGGTCTTTAACATTTTCTCTGTTGCATACAATACCTCACCAGGTTATCGTCCCCATTTTACAGAGGGTAATAATGGCATCGGAAAAAGCTGATTCCCACCGACGCCATCCTTCCAATGTGCGGCCAGGCTCTGAACCAGGTTGAGCGTAAATAACCAGGAAGGAATCAGGCTCTACGAGGCTTGTTTTGGAAAACATTTAAACGCGGCCCTCAATCTCCAAAGACGCCTGGCTTGCCCTCCCGCAGTACCTCATTCCCCTCTGGCCAGAGAGCCTGAGTGACCTACATCTGCAGCAAAGCAACAAAAATCGCACTTACAGGTTCTTCACATCAGCGATGCCACGGAATGCCTTCCTCGGGATCCCCTGGATCTGGTTTTCGCTCAGATCTCTAAACGAGAAGAAAGGAGGCAAACCACGTTAAAGAGGCCCAGCTTTCTGTGCATCTCATTATGATAACAAAAACCCTGGGAGGCTGCCTCAGCGCTGGGTCACAAGTGTTTGGGGGACTGTTTAGTCTCAGGCCAGGGCTGCTACAAGCGTTCACATTGTTCTGTGTGAGCTCTGGCCTTTGCTGAAATGATTACCAGGCGGGAGCCGGGAGCCTCCACAGCGGGCTCTGTGGGTGGTCTCACACCTCCAGGCCACGAGCCAAGACCTGGGTTATTTGTTGCACATTCTGCATCCAATTCTGTTTTGCCACCTCCCAGAAGACCTCTTGCCCACTCCCCCAGGGGTACCCTTCCCCCATGCGGGGTCGACAGCACTCAGTCTCCCATCTCTGGGCTGTCCTCTGGTGTTCAGGCTCTCTGGGATTGGAACAGAGCCTGGCCACCTGATTTTTTGGTGAAGATCACGACTTCAGCTTATTCTAGAGTCCCACAGACGCCTGCAGGCCTCCTGGATCTTCTTAGTGACAGGCACGATGCAAGTAAAACTACATTTCCACAAACCCATCCCAAATGGGGGGGGGGGATCCCCGCCGGCACCACATCAAGCATTAAGTGACACCAAGATGTTTTGAGAAAGGGTAAGGGATACAGGGGGAGACCCCACCGCTGGCTCAAACCCAAGTGTTGTCCTGGGGTTTAGGCATCCCAAAGCCTTAATTTCTTTTCCTAAGAATGATGCAAGCAATTTTCGTTTTTGTTTTCTAGTGATAGTAATGCTACTTGTTACACCAATCATGACCTTGTTTTCACTCATACCTCAAGCCTGCTGGGACCTCAGGGAGTAACCTCTGTAAAGACCCGTCAGGCCTCCAGAGAGCACAAAGTGGGTCTACAGGACGCTCATGCAGTGACTCAAGCCAGGCTGGTTGTGCCCAGCATGGGCTGTGGAAACTTCTCCAAAGGCGACACCGGGGGAAAGGCGCAGTGTGAGAAGTGGGACTAAGGGAACAGTCACTTCTGCGTTTTTTTTTTTTTTTTTTAAGATATAAAAGGCACACTACTCTGAAAAGAACAAAGAGAAACCCTCAAATATTAATGTAAAAGCAATCAACCATTCAGATGTAACTACTGCTACCAACTAGGAGTAATACATATAAATTTCACCAATATGACCTTATAATATAGAGCTTTTTATTATAAACCATTTTTAACTTACTATATTGAGAACATCTGGTCACACTGTTACCAGTACATCAACACCAACTTTTTTTTTTTGGACGGGGGATCCAACTTGGGACCTTGGACTTTTGAGGTAGGCAGTGGAACCACTGAGCTCAATCCCCAGCCCGGCACCAAGATCTATAATGGCTGTAATCGTCAAATTGTGTGGATGGCTATATTATCCCAAATAACTGGACAGGCACTGAATGATTAGCGATTTAAAGAAACAATAGGCAACCTTCCCTGCCCATACTCTTGGAGACACTTGCCTAGCTATTTCCTGGGCACAAGGTCCTATAAGGAGAACTTGCTGGTCCCAGGATAAATACATCCTTGCGAGTTTCTGACAGACTTAACTGGTAAGACACAGTCTGATGGACAATGGGAATCTCATCAAGAAGTACTGATGATTCCACGTATATTTGGAAAAAGAAGTCAAGCATGTTCCACTAAAACCTAGGTAGTTTCACTGAGCATTGTTCAAAGGGGGAAGAGGGAAAGCAGAAAGGAGAGAAGGTGGTTGTATTTTTCCACTCTTACCTGCTGAGAGGATCCACATTAAGCTCAGAGCAGCTGATTAAAACTCATGACCCTTGAGGATGTTTGGGGCTACTTTTTAGCCTCAAGACAAACCTCCGAGTCAGGAAGGGGTATAGCTGTGAGTTCCAGAGGCTTCTGGGGCTACAGTCAGGGTGCTCCCTCCCTCAAATCCAGTTTCTCTTGTCTGCATCTGATGTAAATAAATTGACATGCACAATGAGCCCTGTCGCAGGCTCCCCAGCCAGGTCTGATTCAATGAGCAGGGCTCCAGCCTGGAGTCGGGGCGCTGAACAAAGCCCTCGGTGACAGCGGAGGTCAGGCGGTGTCACCCAGGCCACTCAGTTGCTCTCCATCAGCTTCCAGAGAAGGGGCCCTGGACCAACTAATGTGATTTTTACCAGGCATCTGGGTGGCTCCCAAGGCTCCAGCAGCCGCGATGGCCCAGTCCTTTCTGTATGTGAAGGCTGGTCTCCAGGCCACCCCGCTCCTGCTCATGACCCTCCCAGGTTTGGCTTTTATCTCTGGCTGCTCTGGGAGATGAGCCTTAGCCACAAGGTCTGACAAAAGACTGGTGAGAAAAATCAGGGGCAAAGGAAGCAAACAGGAGAAAGGTTTAAAACTGCCAGCTTTGACCGTGGCTACAAGCTGAAAGGGGTACATCTTCCTGTCATGTATTAGCCTGTTCTGAGCAGGATGAATCTGAAAACAAATCAGAAGAAATAGCAAAGTATGAAAGTTCTGGCTTGCAGTACAGTAGGATGAAGACAGGAGAGGGAGTTTTCAGCAAAAAACTCTGCCTGTAGTGAGGGTAGATAGCTTAACAGGCAGGGAGTCACATAGACAAAATTCTATACTTCAGGGGGCAGCTGTGTTGGTCTCTGGTCACTGTGTTCTTCCTGTAAATGTACCCAGCGTCACTCTAAGGAGCCCCGTATAAGGCATGACATTTTTTCTTCCTCTTTGCCATAGCTTTCTGCTACCCTAATAGAATAAAAATAGAGTAAAACTGTAGATTGTAGGAAATTTATCTGTTCCTCATGACAATTTGCTTATAAATTTTATTAATTTTATTTTCCATTGAGCTTCTCTTCCCCAGCGAACAATACCACAGCCATGCCTCTGCAGGATTGTATATCGATTTCATAAATACCTCCAGTAGGCTGACAAACTGACAGTGTTAACGGGTGTTACTGAGGGGGCTTGGAGGAGGGCTGCAGGGCTGGGAGCTTCGCCCCCCACCCCACCATCCAGTCACCATTATCCTGGGGCCTTTGTGATGCTACTTTAATAGTGTTTTTATCTCAGCGTGATGCCCAAGCATGAAGCTATTGTTAAGTACGATCCTTGAGAGAGACAAGAACCACCGTTTTCTGCTGACACTTAAACAAAAGTAACAAAATCTATCCAGAATGCCTAAGAGGCTAGTCCCAGCCAATTGCTTGTTTGAGTTTTATTGCCTCACCTTTCATAAGGGAAGCAGCCTGTGGAGATGCCTAGAAGTGACCAGAAAGGGATTTTTTTTAACATTGGAGGAGAAAAGCACAAGGTTGGGGTAGGGCCAGGGTGGTGGGTATAAGATGGGGTGGGTCTCTCTGGGGACACAAAGATAACTGGTAGGGAAGGCTTTCCTGGTTGAGAAGAGGAGCTATGGAACAGGGAGCCTTTTTAAATAATTAGGATTCTGGAAGAAAAAAGTACTGCATTAGCTAAAGTGCATTTTTCAGCTTCCGGAAAATGATTAACTGACTGATTATTCCATCCAAAAACACAGGACCAAAGATGACTTATTAAGGAGACAGTAAGTCAAACAGGAGTTGGCAAGAACTGATACCATCCCTCTTTCAGCCAGCCCTTCCCCCAACCTTTTTAATTTACTAAAATGCTTTGGACACAGATTAACTTTCTTCACAAATTTATTATTGCTTCATCTACCTTGAAATGGGAACTGCAGACACTTTGATATATGGATTGAAAGGCTGTCTAGTTCCAGCGGAGCTTTTGAAATGCTTCCTGGGGCTCTCCCTGCAATATCAGGCATGCTTTGTTTCTGGAACAACAATGAAAGGCAACCCTCACCTTTACCCCTACCCCTACAGGACGTGGAACAGGAAAATGCCCTTTTTGCTCCACTAGGGACACTGCTCTTGTCCTTGTCACTTTCATGGTACCAGAAGTGTTGTCTGCGTTACACAGCAGTGTATGAGGATGGGGTGGAGGAGGAGTTGTTCTTAGGTGTTGATCCCAAATTATTTCAAAGCCACAAAATGGAGCTTGGAATCTTCCAGAGACCTGGGGAATTTTTGTCTATGAAGTGGGTAGATCTACTTATCATTATTTTTTGTTTGTTTGTTTGGTACCAGGGATTGAACTCTGGACCTTGTGCTTGTGAGGCAGGCCGGGGAACCACAGAGTGAAATCCCTGGCTGGGTAGAGCTACTCACGCGCTGTACGATCATGTAAGTTGCTAAAATGTTCCATGTCTCAGTTTCCTCATTTACAATCAGACCATTAATTTTGCCAGCCTCACCAGCTGTCACAACAAAATGACTCAGCATATGTATAAGAACTTTGCATCTGGAACACAAATGGCTGTATAGTATTTACTTCTTAGGAGTTTCTCTGTTCATCCTGGACTAACATTGCTAAAAATGTCCAAATGTCCTTTATCAGCAGCCCCAGGACATATCTTTAATATTGTGAAAAGAATAAAACACTTAAATGTTGCTAGTACCCTTTCCAAAAAATCCAAGTTAGAGATTAATGTCTCCCTCATCTGTTACCTAGAAAGGGGTATCTACTTTTGACTCTAGATTCTTTCCGATAAGACAGCAGGGTTTGATTCAGGAAAAAGGCCCACCTTATGCTGCGCTGTCCCAAAAGCAGACATTGAGCCAAGGACTCAGAGGTTAAATAACTGATTAACGAAGAGAGACCATGAAGGGATGCACTGGGATGAAGGAGAACAAATTACAACCAAATAAAATTACGGACTTAGTCAGAGACCACGGGAAGCTCCTGTCTACCAGCAAGGGAACCAGATCTCTGAGGTCCTGCCTCAGGTCCTTGTTAGGACCACCCACGAGATGCAAATGCCCAAGCTCAGCCTGCCCTTCCTAATGGTGGTCGGGTAATGCAAGGGCAGACTGCTGAAGGAACTCCCGGCTGAGACTTTAGCAGTGAGTACCAGGAAAGAGGACATTGCAGAATCCAACCCAGATCATTCTAAGGCTGCTTAGAG